CAGCACCTTAATTAGCCCCTAGTGAGGGACTTGTGACAGGCCATGTGACATCGATGGGAAGATTTATAACAGTGATCACATGACAGGACAGGGGACCAGAGAGATTCAGCAGACAGATTGCTCATTTTGTGAGAAGAACTAGCTCCCTGTGAGACCTGCACTGATCTCTTCTGAGGGCAGCAGTTTCCTCTACCACATTGATTCAGTTACTCTCCACGAAACTCTTAAAGGAGCACCTGCCTGTCTGTGAGCATTTGGGAGACACAATCAGATCATATCCAACCCAGCGAAGATTTGACCCGGAAGTCCTGGGAGTGGGGTGTACTCATATGTGGATCCCCCAGGCATTTAACTACCTCCTGCCACCGGTCGTTCTGCAGGAACTACTCTCACAAGAAACACATCTGTGTCTTGCTCTCTCCTTTTGGCTCTTATATCTGACAACGAGACAGATCTGCCAACAAATGTTTGCTACAACATATAGAAATACTCCTACAAGTCATGGTACTCTAAGAAAGCTGTTCTTTGTTAACATTTTATTTCCGAAGTGGGGAGCTTTCTAATAATAGGCTGATCACTAAGTACAGTGAATTATTTGAGTATGTTTTAATCTAGGTACTTTATATTTTCTGAAGTTGTAACTTTGGAAGAAACTGTTCTACTGGAAGAAACTATCCTAGTTTGCTTTAAAATATGAGAGATATGTCAGGGATATAATGGTCCATATTTAAGCTTGACTACCCACCAAACAGTAAGGGTTCTGCTGTGGGTTCCTGAGTGCTGACTCACCACATTGAGTGCTGACTCACCACACTGAGTGCTGACTCACCACACTGAGTGCTGACTCACCACACTGAGTGCTGACTCACCACACTGAGTGCTGACTCACCACACTGAGTGCTGACTCACCACACTGAGTGCTGACTCACCACACTGAATGAAGAAGAGTTTTTCTCACTTGCAGGTGAAAGATCTAGACCTTGCTTGAGATAGTGAAAAGCTCATAAGGGGTAAAACCAAAATTGAACTTCAACATCTCTGTTCTTTTCACCTTCTTATGCCCAGCTCTACCTCATTATCTAAGAGGATTTACACTAACTTAAATGGTAAATGCATTATGCAGTCTTGAAGAATGTAAATCATTACCATTTAGTTCATCCTATGCCCTTCAGTAGTGTATTCTGTGCCAGTAAAAGGTGACTAAAAACTTTGGAAGTAAATGGCACGCACCCACAGGGACAGGATGGGTGGCTTGGTGGTTAGGAGCACTTGCTAAATTTGCAGATGATCCAAGTTTGGTTTCCATCACCCACACTGTGTAGTTCACAGCCATCTATAACTCCAACTTGAGGGGATCTCGCACTCTCTTCTGGCTTCCTCAGGCACCTGCACTCACACATGCACGGCCTCCTCCATAGATACACAGGCACACATGTGAAGTAACAATACAAACACATCCTTAAGAAAATCGACCACATAGGAAGAAATAATGAAAATAAGTCCTTAAAAAAATCAACCACCAACAAAACCAAACCCCTAGAGGCCTGGCAATTTCCTGATAGTTTCAAATGGTTATTATTTTGCAGTGAAATTGCTGTTTTTGATGTACTGGTACTCCTAATAAAGACATCAGCAGTTACTGCAAACAAAATTCGACATGTCAAGTGAGCTATTTTGAGAAATACCTTCTAGCTGAAGTGTTGGTTACTGTTATTATTTGGTAGAAACAAGTATTTTATTTAACCTTCTCAGAACATGTGGTTAAGTTTTAAATTATTTTTTAATGTTTTTATTTTAGTATGTGAAGTACAAGTTTTTGATTTATACTTGCTTGTGTTTTTAAAACTGTATCATAGAATAATTCATACATACAATGTATATATGGTGGAATAATGTAATGAACCCAGTGTAATCATAGCTTCAAGGAGTTGCTAACTCTTGGCACTTTTTGCTTTGTTCCTGTCCTGCTTCAAGTTGTTTGTGTTTGAGTCAAGGTCTTACTATGTAGCCCAGTTGGCCCTGACCTCATGGTTCTCTGTGACTCTCCAAATGCTGGAATTACAGCTATGTGCTACTATGCTTGGCTATTATTTAAGTCCTTCCTTATGAAGTCAAGCCAATTTCAACAATATATTTTTATAAATACTTTATTTCCTCTGATATTAATGCTTCTAGAAGATTTGACTATAATTTCATTATCACAGCCTAAATATTACCAGGTATTCAGTTAGTGAACAACATATTATTAGTTTTACAGAGGCCTTCTTGTCATAGACTTTGAGTCACTTCCAGAGACAGCCCTCTGACTGATAGGAATTATAAACATCTCTCTGCTTTCCTTCCTGCCCATTATTCTCACAGTCCACTCACTGAAGGAGCTTCATTGCACTGTGGAGTTCCCTAACAGTAGGTGATTCCACTCACCTCTTAAGTAGTTTGACATGTCCCTCTGTTCTGTGTAGAGTGTTTGTGTATGTGAGAATGTGTAAAGTGTGTGTGTAGATGGTAGTTTCTGTTTCTCCTGATCCTATAGCCTGTCAGTCCCAAATACACACAGCTCTCTCTTAATTATTAACCTATTTCTCTTAATCTGCCTATCTTCATGTGGTCTTGGCTACTGGTGATGCCTGAGCCTCTTTCTTTCTTGGCAGCTCCATGGCATTTCTCTCTTGACTCACTATCTGCATTCTTCTTCCCGGAATTCTCCTATGTCTGGTCTCCCTGCCTATACTTCCTGCCTGGCTATATCCTGTCTGTCCATTGGTCAAAACAGCTTTATTCCTCTACCAATAAGAGAAACATATATTCACAGCACACAGAAGGATATCCCTGGTGTGTGTGTGTGTGTGTGTGTGTGTGTGTGTGTGTGTGTGTGTGTGTGTGTGTGTGTGTGTTGGGGAGTGGGGAGAAAGGTAGTAGAAAGGTCTAGAATTGAAACCAAATTTGGATTTTCCCCTTCCTCTTTGTTTCTTTTCATTTCTTTTTTCTCTTCATCTTGCACCCCCCCCCAACCGTGTCTTACATTGTGCTGTAAGTATGCTACACTGTACCTCCTTTCCCAGGGAGAGACATCTCGTGTGGTTGTTTTCTGTCAGATGCTGTTTGCTCTTCCACCTAAATACTCAGGCATTGGGAGTTGCCAATTTTGATATAGCAATTGTCAAAGTTATCTCATTTTTTATCCAGAAGACTTTCATATAAAACCTTATTCATATTTATCATTTGTTTCACTAATGTGCAGCTTATATAAGGGACAATTGGATACATGCTCATACTCTCTTATAGTACCAAGAAGTATTAACATTTACACCTGTGTTTGCCAGTGTTTCTTACTGAGCTGTGTAAGCCTTGGTAATAAAATTCTTTATAATATATTGCTGATTCTAGTCACTGGGCCGAGTTCCTATTAACTATAGTGATGTCTTATTTTTTTCAGGTTTGTCTAGTAATATGATTTTTAGACTCACAAAGAGGTAGATTTTTCTGGGTATTAAGCCACACAAATTAAAGTAGGATTTTTGAAATATGAGAATTTCAAGATGTAGATATTTTTGGATGTGTAGACATCAAGTGTCTTTCTTGGACACTCTCTACCTTGATTTTTTGACCCAGAGTTCCTGAACCTGGAGCTCTCTGTGCCAGGGAGACTGGCTGGTCAGCAAACCCCAAGGCTCTTTCTCTCCATCTCCATCACTGAGGCCACTGGCATGTGCCACCGTGCCAGCTTTTACATGGGTGCGGGGGGTCGAACTCAATTCTTCATGCTTCTATGGCAACCTTTTGCCAACTGATCTGTTTCCCTAGCTCCTTAAAATATATTTTATAATATAAATTACAACAATATAGGTTTTTTTTTACTTCCTTTTTATATATTCTTGGTGTCTTTCTCATCACGCAGCTCCATCCATTCATTTCCCCATCCCTTAGTATCTGCCCTCTGCCCTTGCAACACCCCCCCACCCCCGCCCCAATAAAGTAAAATAAAATTTAAGAGGGGATAAAAGAGAGAAGGAAAAGTCAGTCTTGTCATGGAAGCTGTAGTGTGACACAGTGAACCCATTTTGTCCATGTCTTTTCTTGCAAATGTTCTTTGCAAAGAGTCATTGGTCTGGTTTGAGGCCTCTGGTTTCTGCTACACTGTCCATGCTGGACCCTCACTGGAACTCCTCTTGGATATCCTGTTGTTACTCTGTGTTTTGGAGACCCTGCAGCCCTGGGTCTGTAGGACCAGTCCCTTCATGTGCTCCAGAAGATCACTGATGGTGTGGATGTTGGGGTAGGCTAACTCATAGCCCTGGTTCTGGGCCTGGGCAGTTGCAGGGTTGGTCAACCTGCCAGCTCTCCCTTGTCCTCACCACCAGGATGACCGTGCCTGCTGGCTAGTTCATCCCTAGCAGCAATGTGCCAGGGGCGGTGCCAGTTCTCCTGCTTTCATGTCCTCAGGGTCAATTCTCCCCCATCTGCACCGTCAGGGCCAGCTCTACTGTGTTGAGTAGGCATGGTGTAGCATAGGGAACATAGGCCATTTTAATAACATGAAGTTTCAAAAACATGATCTGTAATTGAAATAGTTTTGTTGCTATGTTGTCTGAAGGTCTTGGGTTGAACGCACCTGTGTAGTTGTACATGGGAAATATGTCAATAGGTCTGTTGATAGAATGCTAGGAAACACTTAAATACACAAAATAAACTATCTGTTGCATTTGGGGTTAGACATGCATTCAAACCCCATTTCAAATCTGAGTTTCTGTGGAACGTCTCAGATTCTGTAAGGGTCAAATCAGAGAGTGTTCTGGGGTGATGAGCTAACCCCGGGGCCTCACCCTCCCTGCTTTCTTTCCTCATGACCCTTTCCACACACAAGGTTTTGAATTTAGATTAAAAAGAGAACTAGAAGTATAAAAGAATCAAGCATTTATTTATCTTGCATAAGCAATTGCTGTTTGCATACTGTCTTTCAAAGTGAGTATTTTACCACTGTCATTTATTTTTGTGTGCAGGCCACCTATATGTGATAGAGCACTCCCTGGACTGAAGGAGAAGCACAAGAATTGGGAATTATTTTTGTCTTTGAGGTGAGTCTGCTCGTGGAATAATTGGTATATTTTCTGGAGCTGTAGCTCAGTTGGTGGAGTGCTTGCTTAGCATCCACAAAGCTCTGGATTCCATCCTCATCACTGCAGAAACTGTGTGGCAGGGCATGCCTGTAAGCACACCTAGGGCGGTGGGAGCCAGAGGATCAGAAAGTCAAGGTTATCTTCGGCTACATAGAAAGTTGGGCAGACACATGAGACCCTGCCTCAAAGCATAGAAGCCACTTGCTATTTCTTTGTGTTTGCTTTAAAATCACCGATGGTTTCATTCATGTATATAGTGACTTTTAATTATTTTCATACCTGTTACCCTCCTTTGTCCCCTTTGGCCTCTCCCTCTGAAGCCCCTTCTTCACACCAGTCCCCTCCTACTTTCATGCGTGCTGTGTCACCCACTGAGATCAGTTGTCACTGTCCCTGTGAGCATGAGTGGGTGGTTATTTATTGGAGTCTGGGGAACTTACCGGTGGCTACACCACTGAGGAAAGTGACACCTCTTCTTGCCGGCAGCCATTAACTATTAACAGTCCTCCAGGAGTGGAGAGGTCCGTCCCCCACCCACATCTGTGAGGAAATGTTGCTGTGGGTTGGCTCAAACTTTTTTTTTTTTTTACTTCTTTGAAAATTTCATGCATGGTCCTCACTCTCCCCAACACATCTCCTTTCATTCTCTATTTGGGTGTGGGGCAGTCAGGAGGCGTAGACAGCTTATCAGTGGCCACAGCCCCAAGGAAAAGTGAGTCTGCCTCCACCAGGAGGCATGAACTACCAACAGCTCTTCATTTGGGGTAGGGCCTTGTGTGCTCCTGCCCCTCCATGCTGGACTGTAGACTGGCCTGTTCCTGTATGGGTCTCATGCCGGTAACCACAGTCACTGTGAGTTCATGGGTACAGTGGCCCTGCCATGTCCAGGAGGCTTCTCTTCGTGGGATACCTCCCTATCGTTGGAGTCTTCCTTTTCTGTGCCACTGCTTTGTTATTTTCATGTGCTAAGGAGCACACTTAAGGTATCCCCGGGATGCTATTAGGAGAATGCTGCAGGCTGAGAGCCCACAGCTCCTCAGTAGTGACTGCCTGGCTGCCTCCCATGCCCCTTGCCATTGTCATCTTGGGGTGTTGATACCTTTAACTCGATGTGTTTGTTTTTAACATGGGAGAGATATGGTCATTTTCCCCACATACCTTCATAGTAAATAGTGTGAGAATAAACTGATATTATGCACCTGAGAAACTGAGAGGTGGAGATGTTAACATTGTGAATTACCACAGTGGCTCCAATGAGAGCCAGAAATCATATGCAGAGAATATTTTTTCAGTGTTGTTTTAGTCTGATACCCCAGGCTAGTAGTGAGATGGGGCACGTAATATCTGCTGCTGAGTGAATGTGTAGAGCGAAAGAAGAGGGCAGATGCGAACCAGCGTGAGGAGAGCAAGAGGGCGAGTGTGAAGCAGCGTGAGGAGAGAGAAGGGAGAGGGCGAGTGTGAAGCAGCGTGAGGAGAGAGAAGGGAGAGGGCGAGTGTGAAGCAGTGTGAGGAGAGAGAAGGGAGAGGGCGAGTGTGAAGCAGTGTGAGGAGAGAGAAGGGAGAGGGCGAGTGTGAAGCAGTGTGAGGAGAGAGAAGGGAGAGGGCGAGTGTGAAGCAGTGTGAGGAGAGAGAAGGGAGAGGGCGAGTGTGAAGCAGTGTGAGGAGAGAGAAGGGAGAGGGCGAGTGTGAAACGGCGTGAGGAGAGAGAAGGGAGAGGTCGAAGGTGAAGCGGTGTGAGGAGAGAAAATGAACTGATTGCATGGTCTTGAACTCATGCTTGGCACTTTTAGAATTCTGTTACTAGGAAATACTTAGGGAATTATCAACCTGTAGGTTCTGAAAAATGATTTGTTAAAACTCCACTCAGAGTATTTTCTGTGGTTTACATTCTCCTGCTGTGAGAAAACGTTTCTGCCCTTTTCTTTCTCTGGTTTGAGCCATTCATCTGGATGTCTCTAAGTACATACTACGAGGCTTAGTAGGATCAAGTAGGCGTTCCTTATCACCATCAATATTTTTGTTTGGTTTCTTTTTACTTCCTTTACTTCTGTTGGTGTTCTTCAGCCCACTAAACACATGTGGTCTTCTGTCTGTGTGGGCTCAGGTTTTCACACATACCCACGCTTCCTCATTCCCTTAGAAGGTATGCCTAGGATTTTTAAATGTGCCAGATTGTGTTCAGTGAGCAGGGTTACTGGAGTTCTTTCTAGTAGCTAGCTTCCTAGCTGCTGGCCTGATGACAGTAAGGTTTTTCTGAGGCTTGTCATTTCTTTGTAGGTAGTTGGTTTGGTCCTCTTTTGTCTAATGGACTGTGTGACTACTTACGGGTCATAGTCTAGAACAAAATGTTATATTGTTTTCACACAATTTACCTGGTTCCTCCCTGAGGAACTGAAGAGCACTTTTCAGGCTTTAGCAATGATTAACACCATGCCCTTAAGACCAGAGCAGGCTCAGTGCTTTTAATTCTTTGTCCATTGACCTTCTAGATTATTGTTCCATTGAATCATCTGGTAACTTTTTTGTTCTCTTTATGTAGTTGCAAACTAGGTTCTTTTGTGTCTTTAATAAGTGATGATTTTTGTCTCTTTGTGTTCTCTCAACCCTGAAAGAAAGAAATGGTTACTTCAAAGAAACAGTTGTGAAGGTTATCCGCCAATTGCTTTCTATTCAGATGAGTATGAGATGGGGGAGGGATGGCTTGGTTTCATAGTCTCCTTCATCAAATACTGGTGTGCACTGTATCTGGTAGCTGGCAGACAGTATCATGTGTGACATGATATGGAGAGAGAAGTGTCAGATAAGGATTGCCACTGCTGTCCTTTTCTTGTTAGTCATTCTTGCCACTGTTCTATGGGGAAGCCGGAAGGAAGTTCTATTCAGATGGGCTTGCTCCAAAGGAATGAAGTGTGATAAAAACTTGACGGCGTGTGGGTCAGCTTGAGAGACTTCGCGGTGTACTATCTTATTTGTTAAGTCCAGGCCTGGCCACTCATCAGCTTCCCTGACTGACATTACTGCTGCTTCAGAGAAATGGGTTAATTGGTCACTTATGAGCCATGCTTGTGGATCATGTTGGCTTTGTATGAGGCACACAGTTTGACCTTAGGTTTGAAATGGAATTACCAATTTAAAAGCAAAAACAGTCAACTCTTCAGCTAGTATTTCTTTTTTACAAGCACGATGAACATTTCTACTCAAAGTCAGGGTTTTAAAGAGTAGACATAGGACTCAGGCTGTAGCTAAGCAGTGTAGTGCTTGCTTAGTATGTAAGTCCCCAGATGTCATTCCTAGCACGAGCTCTCCAAAAATGCACAAGCAAAAACAACAATAAAAATTCCAGACATATGGCGATTAATCACGCAGCTTGCTTTGTCTGTGCACAAATACATATACACACTCTATCTCTGTCTTTCATTTCAGACCTTGAGAGTACAGGCTGTAGGGCTAGATAACACTTCACTGCTGGGTTTTGGGGATGGTTAAAGACAAGATGAAACCATTTTATCGAGAGTACTAAGAAAAAAAAATCACCCTGTTGTGTTCAGAAAATATTTGAATACGTTGAGTTTTAGCATGAAGTTCACATGAGTCTAAAAAAGCTGAGTGTCAGCAAAAACAGTTTTAATGGTAGAAAACTGACTTCAGGTTCTATATTTGGAGTTTAATTCTAAAAATTCTTTAATGTTTTAATGTTTTGTTTTCAGGATTACAAGTGTTCTGTTTATAGGATTTAGTAAAGCTAGCTAAAAGAAAAAAAAAATCCATGTCACAATTGCCTAGAATGTTTCACCGGTTTTCTCCAAAAGATTAATTTCCTTGTCATATGAACACAAGCCTTTAAGATCCTGTGATGTTTATTGCTGACAGAACTTCTTGCCTGAAACTCGTTTCTGAAATCAGTAAATGGAATACGCTGTCATGTGGAGGCATATCATTCATGGATTAATTTTAGAAGTGACAGCATTGTGTGCAAGTGAAGACTTTCTTATTTAAATATAGATAAAGAATGATGGTCCTGTGGAAGGGGAGGGCGTGAAGTAGATGTAGCTGGATCATCACCTGGGGACGTGACCATTATGGGGAATTTGTTACAGCAACAGTGGGAAACAAAGTTTGATGAGTAGCAGAGGCCGGCTCACACTGGTGTTAATTAGCAGCATGTCTGATTATCAGGTCTGTAATTTTCCTTAGGAGCCAAGGTGGCAAATGGAGAGACCACGCCAGAGGTAGAGTTCATAGTTTGACACACAAAAGCTGGACTATTTGTCCCAGAGCTTTGGTTTTGAAGCTACCTCCAGGTTCCAGTGATCTGGAGTCAGCAGATCATGTTAAAGTTTTATGTGTCAAATTTTCTTGAGAGTGTGGTGTGATACTTAGTACTCTATATTGGCAACATAGAATCAAATGTTAAGAGGCAAAGCTGTGCTTAATTCATTCTCATAGTAGCTGACAGCAGACATCTTAGAGTTATGAAGATCTGAATTTAAAGCCCGCCTCTGGCAGCTGTGTGCCCTTGGGCAAGGACTAAGAGTTCCAAGCAATTACTTCGTTAGTTATAAAAAAATTAAGACTAGCATACGTATACATTTGTTGAATGGATATCTGATCAAGTATATGGACATGTGTAATCTTGGATATTAATTAATGATGGTTTTCAATAGCCTAAGTTGAAAACTCCTATAACAATTCAGTTACAAACACATCATTTTAATGGATAGATCAGAGCTTACTTTAGAAACAAAATTTACCTGGATGTTGTATTTTGTGAAGTTTTCATAAAAGCAGAACATGGTAAGTTATCTTAAATGAACTATTATTCAATAATGAATAGGGCCTGGCGTTTAGCTTTTAGAAATTTAAATCCCTTTAGATTATAGTGCTAAGGTTCATTACAGATGCTCAGTATATGTTGAAAGGACATATATATATGGTGTGGTAGGGCTTCCATTTCAGGA